CATAAGTTTTCACACATGGAATCCACATTCACGTCCGCATCTTCCTACAACTATAAAGTCACCCCAAACTGTGCTAAATTTGGTCTAAAGATAGATAATTTAATACGGTTTAGGTAAAACATCTTTGTCCAACTAGATCAACCTATCAAAAGCATGAAAAAACTTATTTACTCACAATGTCAAATTCAATTTTAATGCACTTGTAATATCAAATTTTGCAAGGTTGAGCTTCAATTAGCCTAGCATGCATCCTATCCACAGTTCATAAGTCAACATCGAATCTCAAATTAAATTAGCATAGTCAACCAGACTGTCTAACCCACACAAGCACATAATTGAATAAAAGAGATTTTTTTTTTAATTTTTCGATTTTTTAACAAACACACAAAACGAACACACAAAAACATATAAACACATGAAAAACAAAAACTTTTTTTTCTTTTACCCCCAAACTTAAAACTGACATTGTCATCAATATCATAAAGCATAAATAAGCACATAAAGAGGATAGGGAAGAAAGGAAGAAGGTACTCCCCAAATTTTTCTGTTGAATGTGTGAGGCACTATGTGTGTCGGTTGGATAATCTTCTTCATTGAACTTTCCCTTGGGTCTATGTTGATTTGAGTGTTACAAGACATCATGTTCCTAAAAAATCAAATTTAAAAAATTAAATACAAGGAACAATGGTTACTTAGCTCAAACAATCAAAATAATCAAAAATAAATTCAAGGGCCTAAGAGCAGAAGGGATATGGGTGATGACTCCTAAAAATTGAAACGTGCCTAAATTTAATGCAACCTAATAATAAAACAAAACTATATGCTATGCGATACAAAAAGCAAAAAAAAAAAAAAAAGGTTTGAAAATTGAGTTGCCTCCCAATAAGCGCTTTTTTAAAGTCATTAACTTGACTTTGTGCCGCGGTCATTCTGGGACAGCTAGGTCAAGGCTTTTTTAGCGGTGGGAAAATCTTCCATGTATTGCTTGATACGTTGACCATTTACTTTGAAGTTTCCTTATGTTGGATGGTATAGTTCAACTGTGCCATAAGGAAACACCTGAGAGACCGTAAAAGGGCCGGACCATCTAGATTTCAACTTTCCTAGAAATAGTTTAAGTCCGAAATTGTATAAAAGCACTTGATCTCCAACTCTAAAAATTCTTTGTTGGATATTCTTGTCATGCCATTGCTTCGTCATTTTCCTTGTAGATGGTTGCATTCTCATATGCTTTTCTTCTGAATTCTTCCAATTCATATAGCTACAGTATTCTTATTTTTCCAGTCTTTTCGAGGTTTATGTTTAACTGCTTCAATGCCTAGTACGCTTTGTGCTCAAACTCCACTGGTAGGTGGCATACTTTTCCAAAGACTAGTTGATATGGAGACATTCCAATAGGTGTCTTGTAAGCAGTGCTATACGCCTATAAAGCGTCTTCTAATTTCTTTGGCCAGTCTTTGCGAGATGCATTCACAGTGAGCTCTAGAACTCTTTTCAATTGTCTGTTAGAGGTTTCCACCTCTCCACTTGTCTGAGGGTGGTAAGGAGTGGCGATTCAATGTTGTACCCCATACTTATGCAACATTGCCTAGAACAACTGATTGCGGAAGTGAGTTTCACCATCACTTATTATGGCCCTAGGTGATCCATAACGGTTAAAGATGTGTTTCTTTATGAAATCTACCACCACCCTTGCATCATTTGAAGGTAATGCTTTAGCTTCCACCCATTTAGAGACATAATCCGCTGCCACTAAAATGTACCTATTGTTGTAAGATGATGGAAAAGGACCCATAAAATCAACCTCCCAAACATCAAATATTTCCACCTCCAAAAAGTTGTTAAGTGGTATCTCGTGACGTGCTGATATGTTACCTGTTCTCTGACACTTATCAAATGACCTGCAGAAACTGTGGCAGTCCTTGAATAGTGTATGCCAAAAGAAACCACATTGAAGCAACTTTGCTGCTATTTTAGTGGGGCCAAAATGTCCTCCATAAGATGAAGTATGAACCCGTGAAAGGATCGATTTCATCTCATCCTCTGGCACACATCTCCTAATGATTTGGCCTGCCCTTCTCCTGTATAAATTTGGATCATCCCAATAATAGAATTTTACTTCATGAAGTAGCTTCTTCTTTTGCTGATAGGTGAGATCTGGATCCATATAGTCACTAGCTAAGTAATTGACAATGTCTGCATACCATGGAGCCTTCTCTATTTGCAATAACTACTCATCTGGGAAGACCTCATAATATCCACATCATCTGAATCATGCAATTGCTCTAGCCTTGATAAATGATCTACTACCTGATTTTCTATACTCTTTTTATCGCGAATTTCAATGTCATACTCTTGTAGTAACAGAACTTATCGAATCAGCCTAGGTTTAGCATCCTTCTTCTCAAACAAATATTTCAAGGCTGCATGGTCAATGTAGACTATTACCTTTGAATCAATCAGATAGGAACGAAATTTATCGAAGGCTTGTTGCATAGTTGATCTAAGCATCTGTCAAGGTTTTGCTGGCATAGTAGATGACATGTAACACTTTTCCCTTACATTGACCAAGCACCGCTCCTACTGCAAACTCACTAGCATCACACATAAGTTCGTAAGGTAGATCCCAATCAGGTGCTACTATCATAGGTGCAGAAGTTAACTTTTCTTTCAAAGTATTAAAGGCATTTAAGTACTCATCAGAAAAGTGAAATGGCACATCCTTCTCTAGTAGATTACACAGAGGTTTTGTAATTTTTGAGAAATCTTGAATGAATATTTTGTAAAACCTAGCATGTCCTAAGAAGCTTATGATCCCATTAACTGAATTAGGAGGCTGCAATTTTCCAATCACTTGTATCTTGACTTTGTCAACTTCAATGCCCTTTGAGGAAATCCTATGGCCCTGCACTATTCCCTATTTTATCATGAAATGACATTTTTCCCAATTTAGCCTAGGTTCTTCTCTTTACATCTTTGCAATACTCGCCAACCGATCCAAGCAGTCATCAAATGAATCTCCAAACACAAAAAAATCATCCATGAATACCTCGATGTATTTTTCCACCATGTCAGAGAATATGACTATCATGTACCGTTGAAAGGTCGAGGGTGCATTGCATAAATCAAAAGGTATCCTTCTAAACGCAAAAGTTCCATAGGGACATGTGAATGTTGTTTTCTCCTGGTCTTCTGGAGCAATAACTATTTGATTGTACCCAGAATATCTGTCCATAAAGCAGTAATGAGAATGACCTGCCAACTTATCCAACATCCTATCAATGAATGGCAATGGAAAATGGTCTTTTCTGGTTGCATTATTTAGCTTCCCATAATCTATACATACTCTCCACCTTGTCATCACCGTGTTGGCATCAGCTCGTTGTTCCTGTTCTTCTCTACTGTGATTCCACCCTTTTTAGGCACAACATACATTGGACTCACCCATGAACTATCAGAGATGGGATAGATAATACCTGCATCCAATAATTTCAGCGCTTCTTTTTCACACTACTTCCTTCAAAGTTGGATTTAATCTATTTGTCCTTCCACTGATGGCTTTGACCCATCCATCATTAAAATATTATGCATACAAAGAGTTGGACTGATTCCTCTGATGTCAACTATTGTCCATCCAATTGCCGTTTTGTGCTACTTGAGTACCACCAACAATTTATTCTCATCTTCCCTTGTTATATCATTCACAATGATTACTGAAAGTGTTGTGGAGTCTCCCAAATATGCATAATGGAGATGTGAAGGCAAGGGCTTTAGTTCAAGAGTGGGTGCCTTTTCCACTGAAGGTACTGGGGGTGAAGGGTTGTTGCCAAGAGATTATACTGCCAATGTATCCTTCCTATTGGTTGCTCGGCTAAGTTGACAATACATTCAACTTTTCCTGCATTTGTTGCTTTCGGTTGCACAAGTTCTACCTCACAAAGATTTGTGTGATGCACTGTCTCAAATGTATCTACCACATGATCTTCAAGAACATCTACTTGGCAGCAAATGTCCAAAGTTAATGGATGTTTCATCTCTTTGAACACGTTGAATATGACTTGTTCACTGTCCACCTAAAGAATCATCTTTCCATCGTAAACATCAATCAATGCTCTTCCGGTAGCCAAGAAGGGTCTTCCCAAGATCAGAGGAATGTTTGAGTCTTCCTCCATGTCCAAAATAATCAAGTCAGCCGGAAAAATAATTTGTCAACTTTGACTAGCACGTCTTCAATAATTTCCTTTGGTTGTTTGATCGATCTGCCAGTTAGTTGCGAAGAGATGGTTCTAGATTTTTCTTCTCTCAACCCAAGAGACCTGTAAACAGAGAGAGGATAATGATAACACTGGCATCCAAATCACATGAAGAATGCTCAAAATAATTAGACCGAATTTTGCAAGGTATCGTGAAACTCCCTGGGTCTTTTAGTTCATGAAGCAGCTTTTTCAATAGAATTGCACTGCACTCCTCGTTCAGGCAGACATTCTTATGTTCTTCCAACTTTTTTTTGTTAGACAAGATTTCTTTCAAGAATTATGCATAGCTGGGCATTTGGGCTATTGCATCTACAAATGGAATATTGATGTACAATTTCTTAAAAATCTCCACAAACTTGGCAAACTACTTGTCCAACTTCTTTCTCTGTAACTTTAAGTGAAGGAAATTGGTGGCACATAAGCTTTCACGGGGATGGGTGCTCTCATTATGGGTGTTTCTTTCCTTTTACCTTCTTCGTTAGTTGGTTGTTCAGACTCTGCTCCTATCCCTGCATCTTCACTCATTTCTTCTTTGTCTTTTATGTCTGGTTTCTTCACATGTATCTCTAGAAGTTGCACCCCACTTCTAGTTGTAATAGCTTGCACTTGCTCTTTTAAATTGACCATTGTATTTCCTGGCAATGTCACTTGTGGGCATTGTGCAAGTTGTTAAGCTATCTGACCAATTTGAGTTTCTAGTTTCTTAATGGATGCTTGCTCATTCTGAAAGTTAGTGTCAATCTGCTAGAACACCTTGTCTGTCTTTTGCATGTACTGGTTGAATATCTCCCCCAAACTTGGTTTTTTCTCTTGTTGTACATTGTTTGAACTATTCCCTTGCCGATTATCCAACCATCTGAGGTTTGGGTATTGTCTCCATCCCGGGTTATATGTTTGTGAAGAGGGATTAAAATTTTGAGAGCCATTTTGAATGAAGTTGACTTGTTCCTTCGGAAAGCCCATAGATGTGCAATTTTCTGTTAGATGATTTGCCCCACAGTTTTCACAGGATGGGTCAGTTATCACTACATGTGCTCCCTTTATTTGTGACTTCACCACTAACTTTACCAGTTTTGTTAATGCTGCTATTTGGGCATTGGTAGATGTTATGTTGTCCAATTCATATATTCCTGCTGTTTTTGGAGGTACCACTCTTTCTGAGGAAAACATAGAGTGAGTAATAGCAATCAACTCAAACAGATCCATACATTGTTGCACTGATTTCCCTATGATCGATCCGCCTACAGAGGAATCCATTTGAGATTTGGATAGTAATAAAAGTCTTGTGTAGAAATACTGCACTTGATTTCCAATAGTGATCCCATGATTTGGACACTTCCTCATCAACTCCTTAAATCTGTTCCATGCCTCATGGTAGTTCTCCCCATCTCTCTGTTGAAAAGTTTGAATTTTCAGTCTGATTTTTTATACTTTATTTGGTGGAAAGAACTTATTGCAGAATTTCCTGGTCAGTTCCTCCCATGTGGAAATACTTCCATCAGGTTCGACACCCAGCCATTCCAATGCTGCATCTCTCAGTGTATATGGGAATAACCGCAGCTTGATGACATCCTCATTAACCCCGGGAGCATGACAATTCTGGCAATTCCTGAGAAATTTGGAGATATGTGTGTTTGGATCCTCATGGGGTAGCCCGTAGAATTGCAAAGTATTGCTCATCAAATTAATCCATTTAGCCCGTATCTGGAAGTTGTCTACCCCAAAATCTGGATATACTATGCTCAACCATACGGGTGCTTCTATGGGCATTAAGAAAATAGACATTGGTAAGTCCCCTTCATTTACTTCCCTTTGCTCTTGCTGTTGATCTCTCACGGCCATTTGTCCAATTGACTGTATAGGGATAGGGTTGTTTAGATTGTCAGCTATTTGATGTTACAGTTTTTGTTTGTGTTCCCTACGTCTTCGTCTGAAGGTATGTTCTATTTTCGAATCAAACGGTTCAAGATCGTCGCCTTGGACATGGAGCATACAACGAACACCTTTTCCTGTAAATAAAGAAAATAAAAAAATCAAATAAAAATAAAAATAAAAATAAAATAAAAAATAAAAAATAAATTAAGACTAAAAGTAAGTCCCCAGCAACGGCGCCAAAAACTTGTTGCCGATTTTATCCTGCAAGTGGACGGATCGTAACAAGTAGTAAAGTGAACATTTTGAATTCGGATTATCATTCTTATGAGAACTATATTTTAGTACTCAATTTATTATTCTTAACTTCTATTTGATGAAAATAAATAAATAAATAAATGATTGAATGTGATTTTTAAATCTAACCACTAAAAATTTCGTGAATACAATAGAAAATGAGTGAGAATTCAAATAATAAATAGAGATTAGAGCGGAACAACTTCACCTAATGGTCACCTTTATTTCTAATATCGAGATTCATAAAACTAAAGTGGTGTTTCGTCGAATTCTTCTATTGTATTCAACTTACCCCTCTCGAGTTCTCGTTGAACCTATTTAATTAGTTCAATTTCATATTTCTATGCAAATTGAATTTAATTAAATGAAATAATAGTTCTAAGAATTTCTATGGGATCGCAGCAATTAATATAGGTATCTCTACACGTTATATTAATTTACCAAATTTTAATATGTGGCCCAAACAAGAATCCGTATCTCTATGAAATTATTGTTCACGAAATCATTGAATAATTGGCTAGAAAATTCAAAGCATTAAGAACATAATCAAAATCCACATGTAAAATACAAAAGAACAAAAATCTCAAATAAAAGAAATAAATGATCCCAAATCAGTTACATTATTCGCCCTAAAATTAGATTTAACTACCCATATTAATGAAAGAAAAACAAGAAATTGTTATGGAATTCATCACCCGGTTAATTGACGGGCGTAAATAATTTACAAAAGTAAATCTGTTGTCTTTGTGTTTGTATCTATCTCCCCAAAAGCTGCTTCGGTTTTCTGTGATGTATATATAATAGAATCCTCCAACCAGCCGCCTTTTGTGATTGTATCTATATTAATCTTTAGTAGCAGCCCACTTTCTGTATTCCAATTCCCCCAGCAACTATTCGTGAGATAGATTAATTCAGCCACAAAAACAACCGCCAATGTCTAATATTCAGCAACTGGGCGACCCTCAAATATGTGTGTAAATTATATAATAAGGGCTGCCTCTCTCCTCAATTTCGTTTGTAAGTCTATATCTCTCCAAATAAAAATAAAGCTGCCACCAAATTTGACCAAAGAAAAGGGATTTTTATGCTTCGGTTTCTATTCGTGTATATATGTATTAACTGCCCTCATTCCCTTTCTTGGCATGTACGTGCATATATATATGAAAAAAAAACCTAGCCACAATATTTGACTTCAAAATGGACTCTAATCTCTACAACCGCCTGTAGCCCTTTATTTCACTTAAAGAAGGATTTTAACTCATGCATGCATGTAGATGTCCAATCAATCACCAATTTAAGGCATTATTACTTAAATTATTCTTCAAGTCCTTCGTCTTTCAAGATAATGCAATTCAATCCTTGAGCCCTTTTATTCTTGCAAGCCATTTCTTCTTTGATTCAATTCAAGTCCTTCACTTTCCAAAATATGGAATTTGATCTCCAAATTCTTCAATCTTCAATTCATGATCCGGATCAACTATTGAATTGTTACAACTTAGTCCCCAAACTTTTGCATTTCGCCCTTTTTTGCTTCATCCCTTCAATTTATTTTCCTTCATAAAATTTCACATATTAAACATAAAAGAGAAAAATTTAGGATATAATTTGTCAAAAGAACCATCAAATATCGATATCTAAGATACCGAATAAGTGTATGAAATACACTTATCAGTAATTATATAAATATAGATAGAATCTGTTTACTAAATGTTAACTATATGCCAAAATTGAAAATGTGAAAGGGACTTTGTATATTCGAGAATGTTTAGGCATATAAGCAAGGGGTGATTAGATGGGCTTTGGCTTTGTAATTCCCTTTTTCTTTTTCCCTCCTTTGTGTGTGTGTGTGTGTAATAACTATTGATAGATTGAAAAGGGACTTCATCAAATCGAGTTAAGACTAGCATAACTGATACTTACATAAGCAAATATTCATTTTTGTCCATCAATCAGCATAATCACCCCCACAAACAAATCAAATTTCATTTCTGCTAATGTTTTTTTATTTGTATTAGCCTCTGATTATAATGACCCAAATTTTAAAGATTTAAATCATTACTAAAAGTTTCATTCCATAGTTAAATAAATCTATCAAACATCACAAAATGAAAATTTAAGTTCCACCAATAATAAATAATATATAGGAAACATAATCAATGGAAACATGTTTCAAATCCAAAATAACAAAATTCACATGGAAATAAAACTATAATAATGCTGAAAAATAAATATCCATGGTCATGTTATTTCAAATTATTTTTATTGAATTCCATAATTTCTAGCATCACAATGGCACCTCATCGCTTGCCAACCAACGACCCCGTTATAACCTATGATGAGTAGAGAAAAAGGGTTAGTACATGAGAGTGCTCAGTAGGACACGGAATTAATGGTGCAAAACCAAATAAAATATTTTTATAACATGTGTCAGAAATATTATACCGTCATCATATTTTTAAAAATCGGTAAGAACTCAATACATATCATATCTTTGGTACCGAATGGCCATATCATCACATCATATCATATATTTAACTTTCATAAGTATAATAATTCGACAACACAAAAAAATAATTTAAATGGGACAAAAATAATTGCATCTCGTTATCCTACGTTGTTAGATCAAACGAATTTTTGGAAAAACAAAGCCAAAATCACGTTCCAACTTTATTTTCAGCATGTTGCTGTGTTTATAAAAATTATATAGTATGGTGAAAGGAAATCCGACTTTTTCTTAGTGGAAAACGGTTGTATAAATGTGTGTGTATATATATAGGACAAGTGTCCTATAGAAAGTGGAAGTCCAATTTACCCAAAATTTCTATCCAATTCAAAGTCAAAAGGAAAACTACTTTATCCCTTTTTAACCATTCACACGTGGTTGCCATCATTTAGAATTAGGAAACCAGAATTCATTCAAATACTACACAAATAACCATTTTTTCAAAAAAACTTCAATAACTTGGGGCAAACTTATCCGAATCAACTTTTCTTGAGCTTAAAATAGATAATTAAATACGAGCTATCCAACGAGTCCCATATTAATATACTAAAGATCGCTCTAACGAAATCTAATTATTTGGCCAGAATAAAACTAAGTTTAATATATTGCACTTTAGCCCCTCAACTTTCAAAATATAAAAATATAGCATATAGTACAAATAAATTTTTCTATAAATTTTCAAGGCGTCACAATCTCTCCTCCTTAAAAGAATTTTGTCCACGAAATTTTATTTGGCTAATCGAGGAGTTCCAGATACTTGGTCTTCTCCTCATCCAAAAAAAAGAATAATAATAATGATGATGATGATGATGATGATGATGATATCATACATGTCAATCTATTATGGTCAACATATCATGCTTATATTCTTATTATGGTAACAAACATACGTCATGCTCGTATATACTAGTAAAGGAATCATGTTTTACTTGAGATATAAATCATAATTTAGCCAGAGAAATGTTCTTGTCGTCAAATCTATAAGGTGGCAAATAAAAAATATAAAGTTACACAAAAGATTTGAGTAGTCATTATTTCCTTACCCCATTACATACCTTCGAGTCATTGGATGGTGGCTGATTGGTGGTCTTTGAGTACCAAGGGCTTTTCAACTTATACAGGTTTTAATTACCCGAGTAATTCACGTATAACTGAAATCAATTAGTTATGATTTGGCTATAGTCTTCAACATAAACTTCATTTATATACATACATAAATATCAAATCTAAACCTCTATAGAATTTCACATAAGGTCAAATGAACAAATCCCAAACAATACAACATTCATACATTTTTTTTTTATATACGAAATGACATAAACAATTAAGTTATAAAGAATATTCCTACCACATATGGATTTATATATAAAACTTTTATTATTATTATTATTATTATTATTATTATTATTATTATTATTATTATTATTATTATTATTATTATTATTATTTAACATGGGAACTACATCATAATTTCAGCAACTAGAAAATATAAAATACTAGTGCATGGACTATTATGAAATTTTACAAATTGAAAAAGCTAGTAACTAATTAATTTGATGATCATTGTGGTTAAACATAAAACTTTCTATTTTAAGGAAAGCATTTCAAAAAAATGTTTACAAATATATATAACAACACCTTTATATACACACACACACATGAACATACATGTGTATATATATAAGTTCTGATACCAAACTGTAACGATCCAATTTTAAAGATTTAAATCATTACTAAAAGTTTCATTCCCATAGTTAAATAAACCTATCAAACATCCCAATATGAAAATTTCCGTTCCGCCAATAATAAATTACAGATAAGAAACATAATCAATTGAAACAAGTCTCAAATCCTAAATAACAAAATTCACATGGTAATAAAACTCATAAATATCCGTAGTCATGTTACTCCGAATTATTTTTATCGAATTCCATAATTTCTAACATTACAACAACACTTCATCGCCCACCAACCAACCACCCTTCTAACCCATGAGGAGTAGGGAAAAATGTTGAGTATATGGGAGTACTCAGTAGGACACAAAATTAATGGTGCAACCATGAATAAAATATTTAAAATATGTGTTAAAAATATCATGCCGTCATCATATTTTTTAAAATCGATAAGAGCTCAACACATATCATATTTTTGGTACTGGATGACCATATCA